GTATGGGGCTCATAACGATTATATTTTTCATTCTTATTCTTACATTAATGGAAAAAAAAAACAGATATAATCATTTATAAATTTATCGAATAGAAGCCAAATTAAAACTGCTTTTTGTATGAAAATCTTCCACTTTGTTTAATAGTGAGAATATGAATTTTGTCAATTGCTTAGATTTATAAATAATATTTATTTATTGAAATTTTTGGACAAATATTATAAATGGTGCCATTTCTTCTTCTTGTTTTAATTATTATGAATTTCGAATTATTTATGCATCTAGTCAAATTAGATAAATTTGAAGAAAATTTCTAATCCATTTAAGAACCCATATGAACATCTCGTCAAACAAGGCGAAGTGACAAGAATTTTCAATGTATTTTTAGACAATTTAATCTTATTCGCCAACTTGAGAATTGTCTAGATTCTAGAGCAAATATTAACTTACGAGGTACTAATTTCATTTTGGCTGAAATTTTGATTATTTTAGAAAAAAATTTGTACCATGTAAGAAGAAAAATGTTAGGACAATTCCGAGTTCATGGACGAGGTGGATTTTTTCATTTGTATTTATTGGGAAAACATAATAAAAAAGTTATGATGGGATTTCATTTTTGAAAAGTGCTTGTAAAATCATGGGTTCATGTATGTTCATTTGTGAAAAATGATTCCTTCCCCTATTAAAATTATAAGTTATTTACACAAATAAGAGATAAATTTAAAACAAATGCAAAAGTTGTGGCATTCATGAACGACTCTTGCTTTGGGACGGTTTTGGAACATATTCGACAAGACATACGTCAAATCAAATTAATTTGAATGTCACTAGAATGTTGCAGCGTCTTCATCCTCATAAGTGTCACATGACATTAATATAATTTGTCGAATACTATTGACTTTAAGCAAGCCCTTCTTGTTAAAACTACCTTTCTTGAGAACCATTTCGTAACTCTGTAGTTGCTACCATCACGATACTCCTTCTGAGGCAAAAGACATACCATGACGATGAAATCACCAAAAGTTCATCGACGTGTAATCACCTTGACTGGCATCACCTCTTTTCGAATAAGATCAAAATAAGAAGTTGCTTAAAGAAATGCCCATTCGAGATACTTAGCTTATGAGAATGTTCAGATTGACACATTTGATATAATACTTAATCGTATAATCTACAGAAAAGCATGGTGGAGGTATAGATCAAACATTCGTGGGCATTGTTGTTGAAATTTCAAAATCAACCTTTAGACTATGATGACTCAGAGAAGCTCCCGACAAAAAAACTTGTTGTGCACTTCATTGTGAACGCGAGAATGAAGGAACTAGTGGATACTTCACTCTTTCCACCTTTCATGTCATCTTTATCAACTACAACAAACTCGCTTGGAAAATCATTTCACGCTAAGAACATACACACTCGACCATACTTAATAGCTTAGAGCTTGCATTTGCACTACAATTTCCCATAATCAATACAAATTTTTTCATCATCTTGTTACGTGTCCTAATTACAAAATGTAATATCAATAAACTCACTAATGGTGCAGTGTATTGTCTTGCTAGGTATAATGAACAACCAGGCGTAGTTAACGTTGTTATGCCCCAATTCTTAACATTGCAATCCTTGCTTAATTTTTCAATAATCAAGAAGTTTGTCTTAAAATAATTTGACCGTTGAGTATAATCATAATGCAACAAGTAAAGCCAAAAGGCCGATGGATGGCTTCTTAGCTAAGTTTAACAAAGAGGAAATTGCCTGAAATGTCCACTTTCACAAATTCTTGCAAAAGAGTCCATTTTGAAATATTTTGGACCAAAATACCCCTGTAAACAATTTATGATTCCCTACAAAGACAAGAAATGGATATTTTTGCAAAAATTTTATTGGCCAATAAATTTTTTACACATAACCTATCACAGTTATTTCAAAAGTGTACATGTCAAATCACAATTAATGTTATTTTTCTCATTGACACAGAAACGTCGAGAATTACATTTCAAGTGTAGAGAATTGTCATGTTCGAAATAAAAAGTCATTCTAGAGATTTAAAATGTCAAGAATAACGTTTGAAATGTTGAGAATATTTAATATTGTGATTTGACATATATATATTTAAAATATAAACGGGATTCAAATATCGAGAATGACATTTAAAATGTCGAGAACATCATTTTAATGTAACTTCTCATGGAATCTACTTCTCGAAATCTGCAACAAATTGAAAAAATAAATAAATTGCTTCTTTTTTCATAAGGGGCATAATAGACAATTTACTGCTAAATTTAAAAAGTAGACATTTTTCAATTGACATCCATAAAATTAGACATTTTTTTAAAATACCTCATTAACAAATTCACTAATAATCAATTTTATTTTGAATTACAAGTAAAAATACTTTTAAAATATTTATACCCTTAGGAACCGACTAAGACAGTTGTGACATCCCGAATGTTGCGTACTCAGTACAGTTAAACCTCAATAAAGTAATATCCTCGGGACCCGAAAAAAATATTCATTTAGCAAGGTAATTTATTTATCGATAAATGAATAAATTATTCATTTATCGATAAATAAATATTTATTATTTTAGAGAGAGTTTTTCAATATAAAATATGTACATTGTATGTGGTAAGAAAAATCAAATGACACTAATAAAAGTATTATTTGAATCTAGGGAGGCTCAAAAGTTTTAGTGAAACTTAATGTCTCTAAAAACTAAGTTCACGTACATAGCAAATGAAAATGTTTAGTCTTTACCTATAAAAGCTAGATGTTTGGAAGACATATTCCAAGCACATAAAATATTTTGTTTTCCCTCCAATGTCTTCTCATCATTTGAAAGGAGTAAAAAAATCAACTTTAACCGATAAAATGAGGAGTGCAATATGTGAGCATAAGAAAGAGAATCTAACTATTAGTCAAAAAGATATGCAAGCATGGGTGCAACAAAAGTTTGATTTAACTATTAGTCAATCAACAATATCGAACACTCTCAAAAGGACGTTGGAATATTTGTCAAATGATATGAAAAATAGCGATGTTAAAAGGCACAAATCGACAAAATACCCTGATTTAGAGAAAATTTTGTATGAATGATTTCTTCAAAGGCAAGATAAAGTGAACATGTCTGGATAAATTATCCAAAGAAAAGCAAAAGAGCTTTTGCAAAAAATGTATGGTGAAAATAATCCAGAATTCAGCTTTTCTAGTGGATGGTTAGAACGTTTTAAGGCCAGATATAGAATCAAATTTTACCGACGTTTTGGTGAAGGTGGTTCAGTTATCATGGAGAACATTGAAAATGCTTTACCTGAAATACGATCAAAACTAGACCAATTTCAGTTGAAGGATATTTACAATATGGATGAAACTGGATTATTTTACCGATTGGAAGCTGACCATTCACTTGCTACCAAATAGCTCGAATGACGCAAAAAAGATAAGGAGAGAATTACTGTTGTTGTTTGTTGCAATGGTGATGGATCTGACAAAGTACTACTTTAGGTTATTAGTAAGTATGCAAATTCTAGATGCTTTAAAAATGTGAATATGAACAATCTTAATTGCAAGTATCGATCCAACAAGAAAGCTTGGATGACTAACTTGCTTTTTCAAGATTTTGTTGGTTGGTTTGATAAAAGAATGAATGGCGGGAAGGTTCTTTTAATAGTAGACAATTGCCCAGCTCATCCAAAGATAGTTGAAGGCTTGAGAAATGTAGAGTTATTTTTCTTACCTTCTAACACAACGTTTAAGATTCAATCATGTGATGTTGGGATTATTCGAGCATTCAAAGCTCATTATCGTCGTCGTTTTTATTCTAGCATCTTACAAGGCCTTGAAGTTGAAGCATCAAATCCTGAAAAAATTAATATTTTGAATGCTATTAATTTTGCTAACATGGCTTGAAATTTTGATGTGAAGACAATAATAATTGCAAATTGTTTTTGGCATTGCAAGATTCGGTTAGAAGAAAACAATGTTCCCGAACCAAAAGTTGTTGAATTAGATGAAGTTATCCAAGGATTAAATGATGTCATCTCTAATTTACACATTATAGAAATGTGATGGATGTTGAACATTTTTTGAACTATCCTAGCGAGAATGATGCAGTTATGAAATTACCTACAGACGAAGAAATTATTCAATTGGTAACGAACAGCAATGATGATGAGAATGACCCTGAACCAGATGATAGTAGCGTTATTCCAAATGTGTCATCAAAAGAGGCATTTCAAGCAATAGTCACCTTAAGCAACTACTTGCTACAACACGAGCAAAATATTCCGAAAGTTGTGTATGCTCTACAAAAAGTTAAGGATGGGGTTCATTTTGATTTAGGTGGGAAGAAAAAACAATCAACTATAGATGCATATTTTCAAAAGGAATGATTATTGTGCAGGTATTGTTGATTGATTGAAAGATTTTGGTCTATATACATATTTTTTTCCTCAATGAAATCCAGTAATTATTACTTTATATTTTTATTGGGCCCTTAAGGATTCAATTTTTTTTATTACTTAATGCATTTAACGAGGTTATTACTTTAGTCCATTGGCCCAAGTCGGGATCGAAAGAAATTATTATGTAATCGAGGTTATTATTTTATCGAATATTACTTTATCGAGGTTTAACTTATACCAATGCCGAATTTTTTAATTTGAAAAGAAATTATAATTATATAAATCAACTCTATTTTTATTTATTTTTTTAAATATACCCCTATCTTAAATAATAACAATTCACATTTATTGATAACTAGTTACATTTCATCGGGGCATAATAAAAAAAATTAAGCAATTAATTGTATTCTTAACAAGAAAAATGACCTATAATTCAGGACCTAAAAAAAAAAAAAAAAATATACATATATATATATATATATATATATATCCTACCCGGAAAAATGAAAAAAATCATATAACACGTCACTGGGGGCACGCATTTTTGGTGCTCTCCCTGGTTACTGAATAGGACTACTGTAAAAGTTCCCTAGATTCACACTTCTTTCAGAAACAGATACTACCTGTATTCTGCAGTTACATAGTATTTATCACATTTCCATATCAACGAGCAAGCATTGACTCAAAGTCTCTCAAATAAATTTATGTAGCTACCCAAAATTCTACGGTTTTCCGTACTGTTCTCCTAATCGTCGTCATTTATTGGTAATCTTTATTTCTATATCCCAGTTTTTTCTTATTCGAATTTTTGGATTCCTTTCTCGTTGCATTTGCCTTTTTTTTTTTTTTTTTTTTTTTTTTTTTTTTTTTTTTTTTTTTTTTTGGGTTTTTTAATTTTTTTTTTTTTTTTTTTATTTTTTTTTTTTTTTTTTTTTTAAAAAAAAAAAGTTAGCTTTCTTTATAAACTTTTAAACACTTTTTATAAAATTATTTAAACATATTAAAGAAGATTTTAGTCTCAAAACTTTTTTGATTTTCTAAATATCATATCAAATCAACCATACATGCACCTTTCGACACCGTTTCATTTGCCTTTTTTTTTTTTTTTTTTATGTGTTTTTTGTATTGAATTCTCTGATCTGGGTATTTTTAAATTTTTTTAATTCTTTTTAGATTTTGATTTGATGTTTTACTTTTGTTTTACTCACGTGGTTCTTGATTTTGTATAATGGAACATAATTAGTTCTTGGCGCTGTCTGATTGGAATAGTTCGAGTAATTTTGGTGTAATTTTGATGGAAGTTTGAAGAATTTTTAGGAAAGATGATGTTTTCCCCGATATAATTGTGATTTAAAAGGAGGATTTCCGTTTGACTAGAAAAAGACTAAAAAAAGTACTCTTTTAAACTAACTAGTTGCTTCGGAAAATTGTGAATTGTGATGCAGACGAGTATAGATGTGGTGTATGTCATTACGATTTTGTGGTTGGACATGGTGTGAGGAAACTTAGTTGATTGTTTTGTCCAAAATATGTAGCAGCAAGATATTTGACTAAATGCTCGATTTTGGTCTTACAATACAAGGTATGAATGGCACGGTATGATACCTATATGCAAATTTTGGTTTAATTAAATATGAATTCACTTTGAATTCTGTACCGAAAGGATTGGAAGTTGAGAGTTAAGGCTTGTTTGGTATAGTTGTAGAAGAGCTTCTTAAGAAGCCCTTTTTGAATCAGTTTCCTCTAAAAGCTCTACTTTTCAAACAAAGTACTTTCAAGAATTATTCAGATGGGCCTAGAAGCAACTTCTCACTCTTGAGATCCACCATTGGCTTTTCAATTGTCAGGCCAAAGATGCCTGGTTTTTTATATACTTATTGTCTGCCATTTGATTTTAGAGTGTGGAGTTCCATATCTAGCTCTGAATTATCATAATATTTCACATGGATATATTTTGTGTTATCTTCTCTGGTTTCTCAGTGCTTGTTGGCATACTTTAGAATTGATATCTAAGGAAAATTCATTTCAATGATCAATTTAGTTCTAGATACCCACTCCTTAAAATTTATTACTTGCTTTGAACCCATGTACGGGGCATAATCATAGATATGGTAGTTTATATAGTTTATGCAAACAGTCCCCCTTTATCTGCCTCCAAAAATAGCTATAAACCATATTAAATGCAAATTTAGACAGCCTGAGTACAAAAATTGGGTAAAATTTGAATATGCAATGCAAGTTTCAAGAAGATTGCTTTAATTTATCATATAGCATGGTTTTTTCACTGTATGACTCACATAGTTGTACTATCATTTATCTTTTTTTGTGCTAAAAGACGGAAACATTGATATGTTGTTTAGTTGTTGATTAAATAGTACTTTTCTTTTAGTTCTTGGAGGCTATAATATCAAGATATGTTTAATAAGGTTGAGAAAGAAAATAATAGTACGCCATCTTATTGCATGATATTAGTTTGGAGCATTGAGCATTGTGCAAACTATGCTTTGTGAAAATTTATGTAAGAATGCATCAAGTATTTTAAGTTGATTGTACTGTATAATTGTTTTGAATATTTGCAGGATTATATTTCTTTATTTACCTATAATTTCTTGAACTCGCATGCATTTTTTCATAAATAAAGTTCAATTTTATTTTGAGAACAAAGAAAACAAAGAAAATTTATGTAAGAATGCATCAGGCATAGAGCACGTTTTTGGGGGCATTTTGTTTGTACGGACACACAGACATTGACACACCAAAACTTGATTTTTCAAAAAAGTAGGATACGACTACGTCGATTTAAATTCTGAAAATTTTTGAACTTTTATATTATGTTTTACTTTGTAATTATTAATAGAGGACAAGACACATACCATGTCAAACATTTGCTTGAGAAATTTCGCTAAAGTACTGCTTGAGGGTGTCAGAAGTTTATAGAATCTATAAAAAATAGGACACAATATGTGGCTTATCTGATATGTGTCATGGACTGTCCGATAAGTGCCGGTATCCGACACGATATGATACTTGTTGGACTCGGACATCCCCGTCCTAGTAGGATTGTCTATGCATCATCATGGGGGTAGTTAATGAGATGCTGTACATAGGTGCTAAACACTAAATTAATCAATACATCATGAGACACGTGTCCAGGAAAACAATATATAAGGTTCTTTGTAAACTAATTTATTAGAAACCTACAACAAATCCTTATGGGTGCATACCACTTATATTCTGATGTTACAGAATTACAATTAGCAGGATATTACGCGGCCTTATCAACACTCATACATTGTCTAAATTCGCTTATGCACCAAAAGTCCTTAATGATTGTCACTCTGTTTAACTGTTAAACTCTTTTTTCATATCCTAGATTTCTCTATCTACAACTCTATATTCATCCTTTTGCATAAATAATTACTATTGCTTTAGATTTGTGATATGTTTTTTATCATTGTTCTTGGACTTGTTCTTTTGAGTCAACGTAGATCTTCATATGCAAACAATGCTTTATGAAAATTATGTTAGAGAGAACCAATGCAGACTATGCTTTGTGAAATTATTTTTTGAGATCTCCTAGTAATCTTGGTTGTTTGTGTAATGAAAATTTACTTCTTTATTTATCTAGATTTTCTTAAATTCTCAAACATCTTCATAATGAAAATTTCATTTACATTTTATTTCCAAAAGTAAAAACTAATTAATGCACATAGAGTATGTGTCGGGGGAAACTATCACGATGTCATACATGCATGCTTAAACATATACTAAGTAACAAGTCGTGGGATACGTGTCAAGGAAACTGCATTATGAATCTATTGCAGCAACTTTCTAGGCGCTTCATTAGCTGACTCATAATACTTTGCAAAAAAACTCCATATACATGGTCAGTCTCCTGAATTCTGCAGTTAAGAGTATTGCACAATTGCCATTAGCAGTATATTACAGTTCCGTATCAACACAGCACACATTCATTCTATATTCTCTTTCAAAATTTTTCTTATGAATCCAAATTCTTGGGGTTGCTTTAGGTATTATCACTTACTTTTACTGGTTAACTATTTTTTTATTTTTTAGAATTCTCTGTTTGTTTTTTTGTTTTTTTTTTCCTCCTTGGCATCTATGTTGAATTTTCTTAGCCGGAGCTTTTATTTTATTTATGCTTTATAGTTGTGATATATGTTTATTACTGTTCTTGGGCTTGTTTCCAATTTTCATGAGTAAAATTCTTGATATTTTATGATTGAAAAAGATCAATTCTTTGATCAGAAAGATCGAACTCTTTTGGTTTTAATTTTGATGAAATGTGAAGAATTTCTTGGGAAGATGATATTCTTTCGATGCAATTGTAAATGAATTATACGCAGATCTAATTTTGACTAGAAAAATAAAATATATGTGTTGTTGATTTGCTGAATAATTGTTGAAGAAAAAAACGAAGTAATTGACAATACTAGAAAACACAGATGAGGAAAGAAAAGACTGGAAGAAATCGGAGCAATAGAACTTAAGCATCCAGTGAACTTCTACTTTCATTTCTTGTGGTGGGGCGGGGGATGGGAATAGATTAAATGATATTTATTCAGTTTTTTTCTATGTTTGATGAAAATTATCGACTTTTTCCTTTTCTTCTCTATTGATTTTTTTTTTTTTTTTTTTTTTGGGGGAAAAATGTATTGGATTTTTAGGTGTTTTAGAATTTTGGATCTGAATTTTGTACGAATATTGTTACATTTTAGAGTTCAATTAATAATGATTATTTTTTTTTTTTTTTTTTTTTTTTTTGGGGACAAAATGTGTAGTACGGTAATTTCTTGTTTATATACTCAAGTACGTTGACTTTGTATTTTCTTTGCATGCTACAGCATGTGAAAAGTACTGTAGGACTTATATGAGCACATAGGTTGAATTGAAATAAAATAAATATCAGGTGATACAAAGCGTGATCGGTTCGTGAGTAAAAGTGTGACCAAATTATAAAACAACTTTCATGAGCTTAATTCTATTGTCACAATCTGCTGTTTAGTGTTTCCAATAAGTTTTTGGTTAACATTTGAGGCTATGTGCTCATAAAATATTTTCTGTAAATTTCTTGTCAAGCTTGTCCACTAACCGATTCCTGTATAAATAGTTTGGTGTACAAATGAGGTCTTTTATGCTAAGCAAACTTCTAAAGAGAAATGTTATATTTCTTCTTTTTTAGGTATAATTTAAGCTTCGTACTTCCGTAGAAAACCTTTATATTGTCCGTGCCATCTGTAAGACGCGACATTAAATTATTTGGAGAAACTAGGGAGCATGCAATCCAACTCCAAGAGAGTGAATCCAGGAGAATCCAATCTTTCTAATGTTTCAAAATCCAGAGTACATTCTGAACCATGGGGGAATTATACTGGACCCTTCCCCCCTGAAATGATGCAAGGAAATGCATCAGATTCATCATCTCTTGAAAAATCTGTTGATGTTCAATCACAGTCTGAGGACGGTATGAATGATGAAGATGCTGCTGCTGCCAAACAAACATCAAGTGCTCTACCTCTGCACCCAGGTACCTTTTCAGTGTGCCACAAAGATGCACATATTTCATCATGTAAATCCATGAATGATGTAATGAGACAAGCATAGATACTGAACTGCTTTTTTTCTTTTCTTAAAATGCTATTGGTGTAATTGTGAAATTATTTTTCTTTTTGTTTGTCCTCCCACTTTATTGTTGGGTTCAAAAAGGAACCCGGACACAGGTGGAGTCCTTATTAATAGAAATTTTTGCATCGATTTATTTGGCAAAATTGTGATGGAGCTTTAATTTCTTTCTTATTTTCTTTCATTATGAAAAATTACTAATGATAATTTCCTGCCAAGATTAGATAGAAATCATGGAGTTGATGATCGGAATCAGTTTGCATCAACTGTACAGCCAAGGATCGAAGGCCTTATGCAGCCCCCACGGCTTGAACTTGTTGGGCACTCAATTGTAAGAATGTTACCATCCAATATTGGTGAAGCTCGCGGTTATGAAATTGAAGCCCCTATTATTATTATTATTATTATTTTTTGCTACTCTTTTTCAGGCATGTGCTTCAAATCCTTGCGATCCATATTATGGAGGAATTATGGCGGCTTATGGTCAACCTTGGGTATGTGTGCATGACTGGTAGCTCATATTTTTCGAATTCAGTCCATGTTTCTTATTTTCCTTTTGAAGCTGTGAAGAATCGTTTCTGGCTTTGTTGGTCGTGTGCAATATTGCAGAAATTATTGAATGGACATTTTGATTGTTTTACATTTTTGTTAGTAGCTTAATATTGGAGGATTCCAAGACTGGAATGTTATTGATCAATTCTAGCAGCTTTATTACTTCCCCATCTTTTCTTCATATTCAGATAGGCGCCAGAAAAGTAAATCAACATAATAATCTCGGGATACTCTTAGAAATTCAGTGGTTTTAGTTCGGACATTCTGAGAAAGGCTTGATATTATTTCAGTAGTTGAAATTATGGTTAAACAGTGGTTTCCATTCATTTCTGTTACTTTAGATTTTGAGCAAATATTCAGTATTTTCTTGTTTCAATCTGATTTTGAATTAGTCAGTTACTATTCTTGTCATAAGTTGTTGGAGAATATTAAATCTAATTAATTTTTGACATTATTGAGAGATTTGTTTCTGCTTAATTTGCTCTGTTATTGAGGGAAACAAGTTTTATTTTTATTTCTTATCTAATAACTGTTCTTTTGATCAGGTTCCTCCTCGCTTATTTGACATGCATCCTGCAAGGATGCCGTTGCCCCTGGAGATGGAGCAGGAGCCTGTTTATGTCAATGCCAAGCAGTACAATGGGATTCTGCGAAGAAGGCAGATGCGTGCTAAAGCCGAGCTTGAAAAGAAATTGATAAAAGTTAGAAAGGTTGGTTTACGGATGCTTTGTATGGAAAAGTTTTTGCCTATGAGGACTTATTGAGCTATGAAAAGTGGACTCATGCTGGGAACTTAAGCTTCATTTTTGTCAATTGACAGCCTTATCTTCACGAGTCCCGACACCAACATGCTTTGAGGAGGGCAAGAGGATCGGGTGGGCGCTTTACAAAGAAGTCCGATGCAGCTACTTCGAAGGGGGACGATTCTAGTTCAACAGTCACATCACAATCTATCAGTTCATCAGGTTCCAAAGCATTGCCCGTTAAATCAAGTGAAGCTAATGTGCCCAAGGCTCAGAATGCATGCCACAATGACGTCTTCAATTTCAGAAATCAAAGTAACGAGCCAGCATTTCAGTCGACAGGGGAAGGACGTACATCAGGCCAGCAGTGGGGAAACGTCCCGTCCAACCGTGCATTTGCCATGAAGTAAACGCCATAATGCCTGTTTAAATAAAGCAGTTTCTCCAACTTGAGGAAGGTTATAAATCCCGATTTCGCAGATCTTGGCTTTTCCAAGCAGGTCGGCAATTCATTCTTGGCTGTTTCTTTTAGCTTGTGTTGAGGAGGGACAATAAATGGTCTAGCTGGTTTCTAATGCCACCTATGTTCTTCTCGTGTGCAAAATATGTCGTAGGATTAGAAGTTTGAATAGGATGTCGAATGTTTTATGAGTAAAGCATCGTCCATGTTGGTAGAACTATGTAAAGTTGGTATTGGCATTATCATGTTTCTTCTAGTTGCATTTTCTTAAATTTCGAATTTGAAAATTTGGCTTTTATATGAAATATCCTTATAAATGTTGATATGTTTTACATATATTTTTGGGAAAATTGCATCTGAGGTACCAAATTTTTCGTTTATTAGCAGACTTTGTCCAAACCTTTAGTTTGTACCACCCACGATACCAAACATTTCAAAAACTCGTAGTGGAAGTCCAAAATGATGGAAACTGTTAATTTGACCGTTAGTTGACCAAAGATTTAATATTGTCCATTATTTTGACTAATTTTAAAAGGATAAAATGGTAACTTTACATTTTTCAACAAAAAATAAAAAAAATAATTACAATATATTAATAATTAAATCAAAATACAAAAATACTATTCATCTTCTTCTCCACCTCCTCCCCCGCTCCGCCCCACGCTCATCCATCCACTCACCCACTTCCCAAAACCAATACCCACCAAAAAATCGACTCCTACCAAAAGCCATTTTCTTATCAAATTTCCCTTTACTCATATCACCTTCCTTTTCTTTCCTTCTTAATACTAAATTCTTACTACTCCTTCACTCCACCCACTTGACTGTTATACTGAATTTTTGTTTGCTTGAATCATGTGTGAATTATTGTCATGTTTACTTGAACTTGGTATGGTAAGATTAATAACTATTTTGAAGTTTTATACAGATTATATGTTGAATTAGTGTCAAAAATTAGCTATTTCCACTTAATTTCATTGTCCTTTTAGATCTTTGTGCTACAAGGAACCAGGTATATAGCTTAATTTGATGTGAGTATTCAGAGACTCATTTTGAGTAGAAGGGATCTAATTGCTTTGAGTTTTCTAGTAGATCTAGTAATGCATCAAATGGAGTGGGGGAAAACCTCTAATTTAATGGCAATAAGACTTTCTTCTTGTTGTAATCTGGGATCAACTTCATAAAAGGAGTCGAGAAATTGATTGAGAATAAGGTTTTGTTGTCTCTATTTCGTTTGTTATGGATTTAATTTTAAAGAAATGCCTTGGACAAAGTGAGATCTAGATTCTAAAAGAAGCATTTTTGGATGAGTGGATGCAGAAATTGGTGGGTGTTGGTTTTGGGAAGTGGGTGGGTGGATGGGTGAGTGTGTGGGGGGGGGGGGGGGGGGGGAGAA